GAGTTAGTTTCATTAATTTGTCTTCCAAGGTACTTCTTAGAAGTTGCCAAATTTATTTCAAAACAGATTTTTGAAATATGCTTTCTATGTCCTTTTAAATTCTGTAAAATCTGTGGTAATGTCTCCTAGATCTTAATATTGTAATTTAAAAAATGTATAATTGATATTATGTAACAGGAAGTAAAGGTCTAAAGGAGCAGGGGAAGTGTGAGGGGTAGGGGAAGGGAAAAAAGGGAAAAGAAAAAGTATGAGAAAAGGAAAAAAATGAAAACAAAGTCTTTGCAAATAGGGAGGGGTGGAGGGGGTGAAGGGAGAGCAGGGAAAGGGGAAAAAAATAATAACCAAGATACTCATGTAATGGTACAAGATCCCAATGATGAATGTAATTGTATTTTATACCTAAAATGTACCAATAAACTTAATGGGGGGGAAAAAAAAAAGAACAGAAAGTCTTAGGCTTGAAAAGCAAGGTTTTAGCACAAGGTAGTATTTTGAAGGATGTAGTCGTTAAAGTATTTTTTGGGACAAGCCAATCAACTCAAAGAAAAAATAGAATCTCTTGGGCATGAGGACTGTATTGATTCACCCACTTTCTGTCATGATTCTCTGACTGGTTGATCATGCCACACACTCTGAAACTGCCCCGTGTACTCTGTAGAAAGCATTACTTTAATGGAAATTCAAGTTTTACTTCTAATATGAAACACTTAACTCGGTTTAAATTGTCCACATTGTTGACATCATGAAGTTCTTTAGAAGGTTTGAGTAGAATAGAAAGAAGTTTGTCTTAATCTAAGAGCCAGATTTGCCTACTGCATAAAAACACCCTTAATGACAACTAATTTTGAGATACAAGCAGTACGCTGATTTGGCTAAAACTTTTTAAGTGACAAATAAATAAATAAGCCACGTGCTTTTCTCTCAGATCACACTTAGCCAGTGGCAAGAATCTTTTCGTGCCATTTCTTCTGAACCAGAATCACTTCATCCAAAGGACACAGAAAATAGAATTATTTAATATAGAGAGATGCTGGAGGAAAAGCTCTCATTGCTTCTCTGAGGCCTAAGACAAATTGGGAAACATATGTCCCTCTGATGTGATAGTCACTTAACACATTGCTTACCCTGAATTTGAGTGTCCTAGGTGTCCACATACTGGCAAGTTTAAAAGCCAGTTAACAAGTACTGGAATATACCTAGGACTAATTAACCCCCAGATAGTTACCTATTGGAAATAGATATTTTACCTATGGAGAGCAATGCAAAGGTCATTGAAACAACTTGACTTTATGGTGTGAAGATCAGAACAACTTGGCATGGTTCAGTCGCTGTAAGGGGGGATGAGGTTCTTTTCTAGAATCACTCATTGCCTTAAGTCATTTTTCCAGTGATAAAATATTTTCCACCAAGGGAGAGAAGCAGGGAAAATGGAATGAAAGAAACACATCTTTAGAAAGATGCCATAACTCCTTTGTTTTTAAGGACTGAAACAGTAAATGTTGTATAGGAAAAACTTGAATCCCTAAAGACATAGCCAACCTTTGAATTCTCTGGAAATCTGCAGCACAGCTGTGCCATGGACATTTGTTTCGCCAAAGGTGTAGAGACTTAGGGACCACACATTCTCCCTGTAGCTCCGTGCAACTCTATATTCTTGAGGTTAAGTAAATCTCCTTTCTTTCTGTGGTTTTTCTTTTTCCCTTTCAGAGAGAGAGAGAGAGAGAGACAGAGAGACAGAGAGACCGAGACAAAGAGAGAAAATGAAGAAAATTATTAAGAATGGTAGTGGAATGACAATAATATTAACATCAAGCCATAATTCTCATTTATTCCCCAATTTTTCCATTTTTTCATGTATCTGAGAGATTTGGGGGACTGAAAGGACATTAAGCAATTGTACCAAAATGTTATACATTCATTACCTGTACCAAATACTAGGTGTCATGAGACTCAACAAGCTGATACTTTCACTTTATGCTTACTTATTCTAACCATGAATTAGAGATTCTGAATGTGATAGGCAGTATTGTGTGTAGAATCAAGCTTCTGATGTACTATCTTCCCTTAACACGCAAGACAAGTTTGGCAACCTTGAGCCCAGAACCATTTGTGCAACAAAGCAACCAAATGCCAGCACTCCAACCTGAAACCACAGCCAAAACCACAGCTTCAGAATCTGTAACCAATCTGAATTTTCCCCCAATATACAGCTGCTCAATGACTTTTTCTACTGGACTAGAGCTGTTTCTAGGAGATGTTTTTAACATACTGTAAAGGCTGAAAAGTGTTTATAAAGGATTCAACAGAAACTCTAAGTAAAATGTGGAATGGGTGGAAAATAATTCTTTATCAAACAAAATCAAAGAGAAATTTCCAAAAACTACATGCGTGCCTTCTTTTAATGAGACAAAGCCACAACTGCTTTGATAATAATTATACTTTATGTAATTGATGACACACTCTTGCCAAACAGTTCCCACTTAACCTCTTTATTTTTTATCTCAAAATGTTTATCCATGAAGTTATTTGGGCCTTTTGGCTCCTTTTCCCTGTAAGTTGGTAACTAGATCTGAAATGTGTCAATGGATACAGCAAAAGTATAGAACTTATATTTGGAAGATCATTTTCTTTTTGTTTGGAATTTTAATGACAGTTATAACTGGTTGACACTAAATTATTGAGTTTCCTATTTTTTAGAAATCTGCTGAAAGACAAACTTTGTATTTCTCTCTTTTATAGTTTGGAAAGGGCTTTCCTTATTTACCTCTTTCCTTAAGGAATGTTTCCCCACCCCTCCCAAAATATTCTTTAGGAAATTTATACTTCTGGGTTAGAAATCTAAATCTGGTTTAGCTAATCATTTTGCCTTATTTCCTCTGGCCATAAATTAGGGGATCTGAATGTGATAGGAATATCCTAAGCTGGTCCCCACGAGTCCAGCTCTCTAGGGGACAAGCTCTGAATAACCCCCTTGCTTTCACTTAACTATGGGCAAAACAGAATTTGTGAACCATGATGGGCAGTCATATCCATCAGTGTGTGTTCAGGTGACCTTGAGTTCATCAGAAGGGATATCATTCTGAGTAGGCCTGACTTTGAGTATTTTTTAAAACAAGGTATAATAGCAAACACCTGGTCTGGAAGAAAGAAAATTCCCCTGCTGTGAGAAGAGAGGTCCTCCTGGATCTGAAAGCTGTCTCCAGCCAAGAGTTCACATGAAAACAATAAACTGAGTCATACTGTTGCATAGAAATGAATCTGCCACCAACCAATGAGTTTGCAAGGGAACTTCAAGTCTTGGCCCACACATAGATTTCAGTCTCAGGACAGTTAAAATCCTAGGATCTATCTAACTTGTATGCACTAAGAGAAAATAAATTTATGTCACTGCAAGCCACTAAGGGTTTGGTAATTTGTTACACAGCAGTAGAAAATTAATGCTAACAAACACAAGTAGAAGTCCATCTGGCAGCTGGGTATGGTGGCACAAACCTGTAATTCCAGCACTCTGAGAGGCTGAGGCAGGACCACTGTGAGTTAGAGCCCAGCCTGGGTAACTTCATGACTTAGGGTGACCCTGACTCAAAAAATAAAATTAAAATTAAAAACAAGCTGGGGCTAAAGCTCAGTGCAAAGGCTCTGGATTCAATGCTCAGTACCATGAAGCAAAGAGAGAGGGAGGGAAGAAGAGAGGGAAGGAGAAAGTGAGGAGGCAGTGAGGGAAGGAAGGAGATAGAAAGAAGGGTGAGGAGGAAGAAGGGAAAGATAAAGAAAGAAAAGAAGAGAAAAATGAAAGAAGGAAAGAAAGAGAGAGAAAGGAAGAAAGAAAGAAAAGAAATCTCAGGCAACATAATCTGGCACCTGACCTTGCAGTAAATGACGTGACTGCATGGCCGGAAGCAAAAGCGAAGTTTGGACACAGCATCAAGGGCTGCTTTCTTTTGGCTGCCCAATCTAACATGTAGCTTAAGTGGTTGGAAAAGCTCTTTCGTTTCTTCACTGCACACTCTTTTCGGGAATCACATGATCAACTCCAGGGAGGAAAGCCTGGAAGGCTTCCTTTATACATTACTCCAAGTCAGTATTCTATTAGGTAGAATATATTCACTTAATCATTATGATGAGGGAACCACACAGTATGCAGTTATGCATATGGGTTATATTAAATCATCAACTTTGATGTATTTATTTGTTTCCTATTTCAATTCTGTGGAAATAGTAGTAGTTATACTATCCTTTATGGGGGGCCATGATGGGTTCTCTTTACTGAGACTCCTAAAGGAAACAGATTTAAGCTGAATGAGGAGGTAACATACTGCATGGGGAATACCATGGGTGGGATATTAAGAGACAGGTTCTGTGACCTGTTTGACCTTAATTAGCTTATGATTTTAAGATTAAAATTTCCTTTCTCAAGGTCTCAACTTCATGTATAAAAAAAGAACGTAATGAGCCCACCATAATTTATGGTCTTAAAAACTCTAAGATGTCAAATACTATCTTACAAAGTCCCAAATGAACACCTGAGGGAAAGCAGAGACTGTGAAGGGAACAGGGAAAGTGGAAACCCAAGCACGCAGGTTCTAGGATCTCTGCATGCATTCCCATATAGATGGGTTATTCTCTACTTCATACACATGAGCTCTGTGCAGGATCTCACATTAACAAAGACTGCCTTAGTCCTAAAACAAAAAATACTGGGCTAGATAGCACGTAAGTTTTTCTAGCAAAGACCTTATGAGTCTCTCAGAAGAAATAAACCCCCAAAATTAGCCTATGGTTGTCCTTTCTTCTGATCCTAACCTTGCTTTTTTAATAAGGACACTGTTATTCCAGTCGTCTCAGAACATCCTTAGCACTTCAGCTTTATTCTTCGCCTTTATTTTGCACTGTTTAGTGTATTGCAGAGATAGCCCATACTCTTAGCAGCCAAGATGTTCCAGTATAGTGCCTATTTTATTTCATTTTACCTGCATCAATAAAGCTAGTTCATTTTGTGAGGTAAAATGTATTACTCTGTAAAGCTGTTAACATAAACAAAATTTAAAAATCAAGAAAAATTTCTTTTCTTCCTTACTGCTTTTTTCTGCTCTGTTTCGGCTCTGGTGGCTGAATTTATGTCCAGTGCTACAGTAAAACCAGCCCCCTCCACAGAAAAGAGCAATTCTTCAGGATTCTGGGAAGCTACATAGACTATTAAAGGGCTGGGGATTTCTCAGCATGAGGAGAATAAAATGACCAAGAGAAATTCAGATAAATGGAATTTCCAGGAGTTGGTGATATCCACCATTAGGAAACAAAAATGCAATTTTATGTTATTCTTACCATACCTCATTTCCACTTCTAATACTGAAAAAAGTAAAGGCAAGTACTTCTTATCCCTTCTGCTGAATGAAAGTACGGCCTGATGTTGATATATATCATTTACCAATTCGGGCAGAAACTAAATTTTTATAACAGCAATGACTATTTCTGCCAATATTTATGAATGGCTTGCTTTGTGCCAGAAGGTGTGTTGAACACTTTACTAATATCACCTCATTTAAACCATACAACCACCTGCAGGGTGAATATTGTGATCCCCAGTTTTCCAGTGAGAAAATGAGGCCCACGGGAATTTATTCAACTTTCTCCAGTCACAGATATGATAAGTGCAACCCCACACCTGTCTGACTAGGACTCACCTGTAAGCTGTGCTCTTCCATAATCACTACATCTTGATCTGTGTCAGAACAAACCAAACTGTCTATTTTGTGATGCCCTCAGTCTCCAGAATACTATCTTGCACAACAAATAGCATTTTAAAATAATTGTTACTGAAGTAACTATTCCTATTTGCATTATTGGTAGAATTGAAACTAAATCCATTGATAATATGAAAATATTAATACACCACATGGTAGACTTAATCTTTACTTGCTGCCATCATGTTCAACGAAGTTCACACACAGGAAAACCTCAATTTTAATTTATATAAACCCTTCTCTAACCTGGTTTTTGAACATAGGACCCTTACCCAGCCTGTTATAAAAAGGTTATGGAAATTCATCATTTCTATAATACTGTGTCTAAAGAAGAATGTCAAATCATGGATATAATATATATAGTATAATCCATATTAATTTTACTATCTATAATTTCTCTTCTAAATGGGTTTGTTAATTTAAATTCATGAATATAAATATATGGCAATATTGGGAATTGAATCCAGGGCCTTTGCACTGAGCTACATTCTCAGCACTTTTAAAAAATGTTTTGTATTGAAACAGGGTCTAAGTTGTTAAGTTATAAGCCCAAGCTGGGGTTGAACTTGTTATGCTTTAATTCTCTGGAACACAATGTTATATGTAGAAAAGAATTAAAATAATGAATCCAAATGAATGACTGATAAAGTCTGAGCTAGTTTGGGATTCATCTTAAAATAACATTTAGCTCATTAGCAATAGAAACTTGATCTATTCTCCCTACTTAATGAGTGCTACATATGGTATTGGCTGTGGTTTCCAAACCCCAGATCAGCGTACATGACATAGGATTGCTAGAGAATATCCAGAGCATATGGTTGCCATCATATTAGGGAATAGACACATGAAGATACTTTGGAGTTTCTATTCCTACAGCACATATGTGAATCAGAGAATAACCCTCATATTTTCCTAAAGACACAGCCCAAATCTACCAGAAGCCTTTGAGAGCTGAA